GGCGGAGTTCTCTACGCTCAGGGACCTGACGCCGTTAGGGGTTGAAATTCTTCGGCGGACAGCCGACCTGGGGATGATTTCCTATTACGCCACTCCGACGTGCGATATGGACTATAGCAGCGCTTCGGAGTCATGTTCGGGTTCCGAGGACGACGAAACGCAGACCTTTTCGGGCGTTCTTCGATTTGCGGTTGGGGCTAGTCGTAACCAGAGCTGTATATGTAGGGAGTTTGGCCATTTGTTGGGAAGTGTAGGAGACAAATGAGGAGGCGCCATTGGCTGAAAGCGGGCTGGGTGTGTTCCAGGGCGTCTTCAGAAATTCGAATGTGACCAACCAGAAGCCGGAAATAATACCGTGGCGGTGGTCGCGAGAAACAAACCTGATAACTGCATTAGAGTAACTCTCGATGACTGAAAATATGGTACACGTGATGTTTCAATCACGCTCATCCAAAATAATGGTGGAGGAGTGCGACTAGCGGAACGATCGACATAATCCGTAAGCCAAGTGCCGAGGGCCGGGAATCTGCCGTCCAAGCGGTCACACTCTGTCCGCGCAATACAGAGTTGAGCGGCGCATTCGTTTCTTACATCTTTCTGCATGATCATGATCAAAACAGCACGTGCACCCTATTTTCAACCACGAAGAGTTACTACGCTTCACTCTTACGCGCTTATTAAAACCATTTACGAACATAAACCTTTGATCAGAACTGTTTCTCGCTACCACCGCTAGGGGATTCTTTTCGGCTTCTGGTTGGTCAAGAGAGCCATGCCAAGCCCTCTTTCCGAGTCTGGTGCACGCCCTGGCTCTGCCCGCGCCTCCCATTGACCAAACTCTCTACATATACGGCTCTGGTCGTAACCAAACCAACGTTTGACACCGCAGCGTTACCCCTGGTACGTGATGCCAAACGATGTCGCCACGTTGACTTTCGCCTCGGGAGAACGGGGGAAGGCTGGTTCAGACATGTGCAACGAGCGCGTACCTACGACTGCGTCCGTTGCAACCGGAGCGACCGGAACGACCGCTCTGCGCCGCGCCTACACACACCTGCAACCACTACAAGCGCAGCGGGTCGTCAGCACGGCGACCGCTTCTATACGCCGCCGTCAGCTGGTTCAGCGGCCCCTCTAAAAAGTGGACGCACTGCTACTCAATTCCGTAGCAGAATATAGACAGACAGTTTTCTATAACCTAAAGCTTTATTATTATTTTTTCTTGATAGGCTTGCAGGGTACAGTGGATGAAAAAAAGAAAATAAAAAGATGCAAAAGTACAAATATCGCCACCACGCCTTTTCTACGATTATAAAAGACAATGTAATCTTAGCAGCGATATAGCAACGTAGAAATATGATTTTGTGATCAGATAGACGTTGCGAGCGTTCAGGATTGCTAACACTAATCACTTTTCTCCGGTGATGAAACAAGTGAAAATTTGCATCCTTTTTACGGTACGCGCCAGTAATACCCTGAACTTAAGCACACGCATGAAATGCGCCAAATAAGAAATCCGGGCGATGTTCGAGGACACAAATGCTTAGAAAGCACCACTGTAGTCGAAGTAAACAAACACGACGGCACGGGCGTTTCTGCTGTTTGAGAGTGCCGCCACGAGATCGCCGCACGAGTAGGTGGATCTTCCCTTCTAGTACGTGCTGGGTTATCATAGCGACACACGACGAAAATTCACAGTCAAGGATAGTGCTTTTACGCGGAACGATGAGCTTTCACTACGCCGTCCACGCCGACGATCACCACCGACGCCATGTTTGCGGATAGAAGGAGCCGGCTGGCCCGCGACCAGCACGACCGGCCTGCAACGCGCGGAGATACGTGCGCTTCCGCGCATCCTTGGGGAACGGGAAATTCCCCCCCCGCAGAGGAAGGCAAGGAGAAAACGTAGTCCCTTGTTTGTGAAACGATAATTGCAGTATCGCGTATTCTAAACTAGAAATATTTTACGTCTTGTGGAATTATCATGCACAACATATTTAAATGAACTGAAAATTGTTTCTTTAGCGAAACTTTACAAGGACCGCCAAAATTTTCAAACATACGATAATTTCATTGGTCCTCGCAAGTACAGAAAAGAGTCCGCACGCATTTTATTCCTGCGTGATTAATAGGTGGTTCTGCCTTCTCAAACTGAAGATACTCATTAACTGACACTTCCATAACGCCGTCGCACCAAAAAGTAGCTTCTCCAAAAACCGCGTGAGTGCCCCTTTAAGCAACTTTTTTTTTTGTCGATTACATTTTGGTATAGGCCAACAAAGAACCGAGACGACCAAGACGCGCAGCACTAGCTAGAGAATATTTTATTGTTGCAACTCGCACCAGTTACGAAAATCTAGACGACCCGCGCATTTAGTATGTTCCAGGCAAAAGTATGGATGGAAATCAGGCTGGAAAGCATCACAAGTTGTCACAGGCATTTATTTAGCCAGTCTGCCTGTGAACGTCGATTTCGTCACTATTCTTGCCCTGGACTAGCACGGTCGTAATCACAAAGTCACTAAACGCTTGTGCTTGATTGAGAGACACTGCATTCGGTGCAAAACGTAGTTTTCTTGCTGTTCTGGACAGTGACAATAAATTTGATGGATGTATTTTAGCCCACAAAATTGTATTTAATTACAAATGTATTTGAAATACCCATGTTTTAGTATTTAAATACACACGTCAAATACATTACCCAATTTGTAATTAAATACAAATGCGAAATACACGAAGTATTTGAAATATGTATTTTAAATACTTGTATTTGAAATACTGCCCATCCCTGTAGTTAGTTTTAAGACGTGACCTACTTTATACTTTCCCATGACCTTCGGCTTTTCACCCTCTCTATGCAAGGTAGCAACTTTGCCTGTAGAGGAGCCCCACATTTTTCCCAGCTTCTCCCTTACTTTCTCGCGCTACATCAACACACAAGTCGAGACAAGATCTCAGTTATACCTGACATAGAAGCCGGGTCCACTGGAAGAACGGTACAACTTGTCAGTTACTTAGTGGCATCAAACCAAAGGCCTGGTAAGTCTGTGGTCCTACAACAGCCTTGTTGAATGACCCTGCTTTTTCCTAAGCAGTTTTATAAATATTGCATTAGTAGCATTTATAAACTGGATTCGTCGAGGTTACCACATGTGCGACAGTTTCTTCATTGGTTTCGTTGTTATTGCGATGTGATGAGCGGGACCATCGTTGAACATCAACTTAAAAAAATGTAACTTCGCCTATATTATTATTTTTTGTAGATAACTTAAGACATCTTGCTTCCTATATAAAACCTCTTTCAAGCTGCTTATCTGCAAAACACTGGCGCCTTTCAAAACTTAATGAGCATTTGAAAACAGGATCGCGCCTATATACACAGACAAGATGGAAGAATAAGACGACACAATGCGCTAACAGAAGGTGACGACAACACGGAGCGCTCCGTGCTGTCGTTACTTTCTTCCCTTTGTCCCTGTCCTTTGGCGTTTCTATCCAGTCATGAACCAACTAGCCCAATTGAACATTTTGTCTCTTTACCGCCAGATCAACGCTGACACATTGCGTTGTCTTATTCTTCTCTTTTTACCGTGTATGTAACGCGACCGTGTTTCCAGAGATTCAGCACCAACTCGCGTAACAGATAGCATTGATGAACTTGTATGACTTTTATGGCGGTCAGCAAGCAGTGATCTCTACAGAATGCTTACTTACCTATCGCTAGCACCGTAGTCATGCGTTTCTGATAATGAATAACGCTTGTATACAAAAATAAGCTAAACATAAGGTCTTAATGGCATATAATTATGCTGCAATTGTATAGACCGACATACTGTTTCCAAACAAGCCCGCGTCTTCCCACACCAGGTGTGGGCACTGCACGAACGCAGAAACCATATTCGCGTGAGGTGAAGCTTCCGCGCATGCGCCATGGCGACAACAGCGCCACCGCAGAGGCGTGACGTCAGAGTTGCGTGTAGGTCTATAATATGTGACGTCGAAAATCGCGATTTTTGTGATTTCCGTGTTGAGAGGGGAGCGTCCGTGTTAGCAGCCTGCGCCAATAGCGTGTCTTTGCAATAGGCTTACGTAGCGAAATTTCGGAAAGGACGTATGACCACTGACAGCGGGCATTGTCCTTTGAAGAAAATGACGTTATATTAAGTGCCAATTGATTCTGAAATCCAATAAGAACAAATTACATAGAGCACTTTCGCTGTTCTCCGTTTTGCTATAAAGAAAGCCTTTGTTAATTTTCTGGTGTATTTTCAAATTTTCGCGAGAACAAATCCCTAAGCTCACAGTATATATAGTGCGTCAGAAACATTTATGAGCGTGCGAATTGTATCTGGAATTAGGGATAACAAGTTTAGAAATGCAAGGGCAAACTATTTCAGCAGCACGTTCTTGTTGTTCATTGTATCAGTGGATCCTAGGAGCGAAGCAACTATTCGATCGAGTCAAGCAGTATATAAGTCCATTTAGAGCACCTTCGACTTAGTATTTCGCGAACCAGAAAAAAAGGACAACAAAAACCAAACGAACAAATTAATGACAAAGGACGCCAGGGATTGCATTTTTCGTTTGTACTAGTTTCTTGCCTTATGTTTTCAATGTGTTTTCAGCTTCTCACAGCGTCGTATAATGGCTTTTCTTTTACTTTAACACCGTGCACTTGTAATTCAAGAACTGCAATCTATGGAGGACGCTTGAACGAATATTCAAATTAACTCACCCAATAATAGACTCTACGATTTGAAACCGGGCATGATGCTACTGTCTTATGATTGGCTTCCTAACATATTGATTGTCTTGATAAATTGAAGCTCCCCGAGTTACCGTAACATAATCATCTGGTGGGCTAGTTGGTCGAAAATTGTATCCTATAGAGCCCAAAAGACGAGGACGTTTCCTTGTCTTTTACCTTTAGATTGTACATTGATGCGGTATACGAATAAAAGTTTAGGGAACGTTAAGCCCAGACATTATAGGCAACTCACCAGCTTGCGGTGACGATAAGAATATGCCTTCGAATTCTAGCCTTCCTGAGCAGGTCTGCTGACGATGATTCCGCGACGACCTTTTCTTCGGCAAGCTTGTGCTGTACTTTCTCTCGAATGATGAAGAAAGAAAGATCAGAAACATATAATTAGAAAACGTCACTAACGCAGCCTGTGACGTAGCAAACTTCCAACCGAATAATTAGAGAATAAAAAAAAAATATAGGGTTTTAACCCCGAGTTTATCTTCGTTAGCAAGAAATAAAATTGAATTATCACAATGCAAGCTTACCTCCTGCATTCAAGCAGCTTTCATTTCCAATGTATATTATATAATCCCCGACAGCTTCAGAAACCCGGGGCGTGCCGAGCCCCGGTTGTCTTATTATCACGCTGAAGCCGATGTAATAGTCCCTTTTCGAAATTTCGACATAATGCATAGGTTATGCGCGACCGCCATTAGTTGGTCATGCACTGTGAGCTCGCATTGGAAGCGAGCTCTTCGTGAGTATTCGGAGTGTACTCGGATCGAAACGCATTCCACCCGAGTGCTGCGTGAGTGCTCGGCGCGAACTCGGAGCCAATCACAGGCTTCACGCCGGAATCGATGAGATCAACGTGGTGTTGGATCAACTAATGACGACTGCGTATAATCTATGCATCATTTCACAATGTCGGAAGGGGTTTGACCCAGAAGAATTAATCAGAAAACAAGAAACGTGAACAACAGTCAGTTACGCCCTGTGATTTTTATGCTGTCACTGACTATAATGCATTTCGACATTGTTTGATATATTTATAATGCAATTTTGTTACGGTTTCAAGGTGGGGGATTGTTTACAATCATAACGCTTGACAGCTTAAAACTGGTAGGTTGTTGTCTGTGTGGCCCATCGTTTGATTACTGGGAAAGCAACATCCTATCTGCATTACTTGATAAGAGCGATCAGAGACTAATTACATATCCTTGAACTCTGTGAGAAATTGACTATACCCAGTGATTGTAGTCACTTTGATCTAAAGTGTGGTAAAGAAAAGTTTTACAGTTGATTTGGGGCGCAAATATTCATCTGTATCTTTAGGGCGCAAGACATGATGTAAAATACCGCAAAAATATTGCTACATTAAACGAAATCGAATTTTTTAAATTTAGAAACACTGAACATTTTAATTTTTACTCCTCAAAAGGATTGTTCGGTCGAAACCGGAAGTACTTAGGTTTTTGCGCTGGTTACGTTCCAACTCAAACTCCGTCAGAACGTAGCCCCAACCGTTCAAGCAAGATGCCAAATGTAAACACTTACCATTACCGCAATACAAAGTTAGAGGTAAAAAACTGTTGTTGCCTATGAGAGGACGCCGTCCGTGAGAAGCAGCAGACGAAATGCCTCTATTTGCGACCGAATCTCACAGATGGCGCCCCAATCGGCCAAGGGTTTTTGGTTAGTTTCGCTCTCGGTCTAGCTGTTTGCGGCACAGCACCTCGACATGGGTCTACAAACCCCGGGGGGGGGGGGGGGCGAGGGGGGCGTTCGCATCCCCCCCCCCCCCCCCCCCCTTAAACAGCCGCCACTTGGCAGGGCAAACACTGGCCGGCGGCGCCATAGGGATACCAAGGGCACCGCCCACCGGCCCTGGAGGGGAGGTCTGTTTTGCCCCCCCCCCCTCCCCTCTCAAAAATAAGTAGGTACGCGACTGCACCTCGACACCATTTCTGACGTGCTCCGCTATGTTTGGGTATAATACCACACTCTAAGAAAAAAGGGAGGAGAAAGGTAGCAAAAGCGACTGTTCCTCCTTGTTGCGGACAAATTGCCCAGAGAAGGGAGGAACGGCAGTTCAGATGAAAGGAGGAGGGCGAGTTCCTCCTTGGTCAGTTGGCGCAGGGGTAGAACATCGCGCTACTGACCAAGTGGTCAACGGTTCGATCCCCAGGAAAGTGTTTTTTTTTTTTTTTTTTGTAATGTTTTTTTTTTTTTTTTTTTGTTTACCAAAACACACATAAACAAACCCAGACCGATGAAATGAAAATTAAAGTCCTTATTATTCTTCGAGACGTTTTCCTCCTCCAGGCAGACCGGAGAAAGCTTTCGCCCTCCCGACCCATCTTCTTTCGGTTTCGTTTTTCGAGCACATCGCGCACGTTGTTTAATAAATTAATGTTGAGTTGATTGAGCTTCAGCGGCAGCGAAGGCCGCCTGTAATTCCGTCTTCTAGTCCAAACGTGCAGAACATTTCGGTTGCATTGACGTTTTTACCACTAATTTTATCAAATGAGCTAACGAAGCCGCTAGAAACAGCGAAGTTCCGGAGCAGTGCCAGCAGTGCTACATACACTGGGTAAGACGGCCGTCTCCAATTTGCGGGACACACGCGGAACTACAGCAGCGAAACCACGAGGAACTGTGTCGACGTTTTCGACGTTATGGAAATCGCGGGAACTGCGTCCAAGGAAGGCAGGTTTTCCTGCCGGCTGCCTGGGTGCCTTCCGTGCTGAGTTCCGTTCCGTTGTCCCGTGCCGAGTGCCAACCGGCGTTCAACGTGATTCTTCTGCGTGTCAGCAACATCGTCAACGTGGTTCTGTATTTCTTCGTGTCAGCGACATCGTGATGGCAGTGTTGTGGGTTGTGAACAGAAGACTGGAATTATCGCCGATGTGACCGTGTGTTCGCGTATCAGTGGTGTAACAACAAGATGAGATGACGTAAACTGTCGGGCATTGATGCCACTGGTCGGGCCGTTATCGGAGGGGCCGGGGTGTCGCAGGATGACATTCCGCTTTACATTAAAGAGTTTAAAACCACTTGAGGGATTAGGTGCAGTCGATCGACGTGTGGATAGTCATGTTGGAACGCTGGTCTGAACGGTAAGCTCCTATCGTACAGTGGCCAATGTGACTGTCGGTCCCCGAGAGCGATTGCGCTCTGGGGAAAAGACAACACTACGAAAGTATGACGGAAAGTACGTATATTTATAATGGAAGTTTAGCATAAAAAAAAAAAAAAAAGACAGGCAAAATCGAAAAAAAAAACAAAACGCTATCCTTTATTTTACTGTTTAAATATATTACGGTTCCTGTAGAAACTGCCCTCTAAGTGGCGCGCTGGGATGAGCGCTAGAAGTTTTCGAGCTCGCAACGGCGCAGCTCCGTACACTTAACAGTTGTCGGAAGTCGCGGCTTTGACTGCATTCAAGTTGATCGAAAAGCGATTTCTGTGCCCGTGAAGCATCACTTCCAGCTGAGTGGATATCCGCTCTACAGAGATTAATTCAAGACGGCAATTGCAGCATTGCGCGAACAGCACAAATAGAAAAACGAACACTACAATAGAAATACTGGCTACGAAGGGCCATGCGGGAAAACAAACTCATGGCTTGGAACCACATTGGAGCGGCTCGATTTATTGGCTTTCAAATAATTATGGCATGATTGAGCGTCTTCTTTTTAATAAGAGATTCATCCCCTGAGCCATTCAAAATAGCCTCAGATGTATGACATTGCTGGAAAAAAATGAACATGTTCGGAATATTTTTTTTTTGCTTAGGGAGTCACCGAAAAATTCCGCACGTTCAAAACGACCACTATAAAAGACGGAAACGCAGGGCTCGCTAGTAGTGTTCGGGGTAGTGTGCTGGTGTATTGATGTTTGTATGTGCGATGCCTGTGTATGCGTTCAATATATGTTGACCTGATGTTTGCAGTGTGCGCAACGTGTCTACATGTGTTAGAGATTCCGAAGAAAAGGAAACGCAATTGTGGCGTAAGAAAATAAAAATATTTTTTTGTAAAACATGAATTGGGCGGTACCTAGCGCCACCTAGCCTAGCTACGTGCGATTACTCTGCTTGACCCTGCCATCTGGTGGCAAGCGATTTAACATCCTTTTACGCTACGCGGCTACGCCATAATTTCGTGTTACCGTGCTGAGATAAGCCAAGAGGTTGCTTCGGATTTGCTTTTTTTTGAGAGCGGCTTTTGGTTTTGCGGGCGAATGATTTTCACTCCTCCGTGATGTGCGGTTGACGCTACGGTTGACGAAGGAATTGTGGCTCGAGGAATAGCAAAGGTAGGACATAAAGTGCGCGAACTGAGTGGCGGTTGTCTCGGTTGAACATCGTAGTGCTGACGATGAGAAGACTGAGTGACTGCATGCTTTCGAAACGCAAGTTTCTTTACCTGCAGGGGTAAAGAAACTTCGGAAATAAATACAGTTCGCGGAAAGCTCGTGTTACGTTTTTATTTCCTGCTCCTCTCGCTTCGTGCAATAGACTTAGTGTTCTCGTTAAGCATTACCGAGCTCGATTTGCTCGATTCGTGGCCGCCATAATGAGATGCAGTCGACGGAGGAACTTTTCCTCCCCTGCTTAAGGGACGAAAGTTTCTCCCTTTCTGAAGGAACATATGTGTCAAGAGCGTTCCTCCCTTTAGGGAGGACTATACTGACCCTTTTTTCTAAGAGTGCAGGTTGTTAGTGCACTGCCTTTTATACTCACGTTTGGCTCCTTAAGTTGTTTATTTGTACAATGCTTTTGTTTATTGTGGACAAAGATGTATTTTTGCTTCACCAGCTGGCTCTGCATTTTGGTAGTTGTGACGTGAGCCTTTCAGTGATTTACAGGTGTAACATTGTGTGCGACACCGGTCTGTATAAGATGAAGCTAACGAAGAAAGAGATATCTGAGGATAGAAGAAGGCACATACGAAGAATATCATTTGCATGGGCATTCAGAGACACGGGAGAGCAGGAGCATCAAGAGTGGCCGGTCAGGCGCCGTGACGGCAGCATTTGGCAGCCATAGACAGGGCCTTTGCCAGGGTATTGCAATAAACAAGGTGTACATTTGACGGGAAGGTGCGAGTTCGTTCCGTATACTGCTGTCAGCTCAGTTCTAGGCAAGGAACTGCGGCTGTAATTCGGTTGGAGCCAGGGCTTCGACGTGGCTTCCTAGGCGCCAAGTGCAGAGGCCAAGCAAGGTCACGTACTCTCCGAAAGCAGCAGTTAGCATCTCGTCCGTGATGAGAGCGAACGCTGCCTCGATGCAGTGCTTTAAGACGCCTAGTGTGGGGATGCGGCCCTTGTACACCTGGGGCTTCATTAACCTCCAAACA